GTGTGGTCACTTCAGATTTTTTTTAAGTGAAATGGCTTGTGAATCAAACATTAAACGACATTAGAAAACTTCGTCAAAAATTATGCTACACTTAATCTAAAGCTGCTAATTAAATCAGAATACTTTAGATATTTTTATTGTCTCAACATAATGTGCTACCCAAATTTATTGCCGGACCCACCGGAAATGTCTCGGAATGTCAGGGATCCCGAAATTTCCACGAACGTACCGGAAGAAAAATCAAAACTGCACCTAATACGAATGTATCTAATACGTAAAATAGAAAATTTGATTTGAAAATTGAGCTTTCGCTATCCTCAATTACAGAAACTTCCAAAATTCATACCGAAATTCATTCAGGCAAACTTATTTATACCGATTTCAGATGTTTGAGGGGAACCAGTAACTAAAAGAGAAAAACCAAGGGATGATCTGATGTTTGTATAAGCCCGAACAACGTAGTTCTAACAACATGATGGTATAGTTTGAAGTTGCAAAAACTATATGAAATTCCTTACAGACTTTCGCGCAGGTGTGTACTTTTGCTTACGCACTTAACGCTCATTAAAAATGCAAGAAATGGGCACATACAATGGATGGTATATCATACAATACTCCTCGTTCATTATGAATTACGTCCAGAAGACCAGCCAGCAGACAAAGTATACGTTAGGTGCAAACTAATGCGTTTTATTACAAGTCATTCAGCAGCTTCTATTTATTTCTTGTTTTTCGCTTTATTGTATGAAAAACCGCAAGCATCCTGTTGCCTTATTTTGCCCATAGGATTATGAAATCGTTTTAAAAAAACTTTTAGCACCTGCTTTGTGTGACGATATCTCCACAACTTAAGTACTTGCTTGCAATAAAAAGAATCTTCTAGGCAGGCGCTAAAATAGAAAGTAATATTCAACAGTTGTTGTACTTTCACAGTTTTTAAAAGTTTGACATTCCTGTTCGACATGTCCCTATATATACAGAGTGTCTAATTAATACAGATTAATTTTAGAAACTTTCTCTGCAAACATTTCGGGTTCGATTCCCGGCGAGGGCGTGACAGCGGTAACAGTTTTTATTTATTAATTTGAGATTATCTGTAGTACTAAAAATTAATTGAAAAATTATTTCACTTTAATGTACCTATAAGATGAGTTATTCTTCCTAAAAAAAGTTTTTGGTGGTATTTATTAGGACTATTAACAAAAACTGGATATCTAATTTATTGTTTATAAACAATAATTAAGCGTTTGTTTGTCAGATGCGCCACTAATAAACGTAATTACAATTCCAAATCAAGTTTACAACAGACCTGTTTTGACACACCTTTCCAGTTATTCTGTTGTCGATATCGTAATCCATTTATCGTTTTTATAGTAATTAAATGAACCACTATCCTTGTAAATCCGCGGATGTGTTAAAAGTCTGTTATCACCACGCTTGAAATAAATGCAACAATCGCTAATCCTTTTATTAGGCGCCTTAATTTTGTATCACCTGATTCCTTTTTTTTTTAATTACTTTATATCCACCGATTTGGAAAAATTTCTCATAATATAACAGACAACAATACACTTTTTTTACAATAAAATTGAAAAAGATAAAACTGTCAAGTTTCAAGTAAAACAATAACGATAATTTAGTAAATAAAACAAAAAATAACGTTGTATTTACCAATCGGAAGTCACATTTACTGTTTTTTTACAGCTTCCACATCTGCATCCGCAACATGCGGATGTGATACAAGATATAAGACAAAATAATGACTTTTTAATAAAAGCGATAATAGATTACATGTGTGTCTTATACATTATTATGTACTATTAAATTATTTATTCAATAATGAGCAAATTAATTGTTTGATAAATTTCATTCCTATTGTTAGTCTTCAGTCTTGAGGTACCTATTGTAAAGCCCATTAATAACATGATTGGAAATAGCGAGTCAATCTACCATTAAAGGTCAATTGCAGTCATACAGTTCACGTTTTCGTAATTAAAATCATTTATCGGTCATTTGCCTTGGGGCTAATGAAAACTTTCGATTAATCGAAAAATGCACAGATNTTTTTTTTTTAATTACTTTATATCCACCGATTTGGAAAAATTTCTCATAATATAACAGACAACAATACACTTTTTTTACAATAAAATTGAAAAACATAAAACTGTCAAGTTTCAAGTAAAACAATAACGATAATTTAGTAAATAAAACAAAAAATAACGTTGTATTTACCAATCGGAAGTCACATTTACTGTTTTTTTACAGCTTCCACATCTGCATCCGCAACATGCGGATGTGATACAAGATATAAGACAAAATAATGACTTTTTAATGAAAGCGATAATAGATTACAATCCTGTGTGTCTTATACATTATTATGTACTATTAAATTATTTATTCAATAATGAGCAAATTAATTGTTTGATAAATTTCATTCCTATTGTTAGTCTTCAGTCTTGAGGTACCTATTGTAAAGCCCATTAATAACATGATTGGAAATAGCGAGTCAATCTACCATTAAAGGTCAATTGCAGTCATACAGTTCACGTTTTCGTAATTAAAATCATTTATCGGTCATTTGCCTTGGGGCTAATGAAAACTTTCGATTAATCGAAAAATGCACAGATCCATTATTATTGTTACTTTAATTCTAGAGTAATACGCTCGTATTATATCTCAAAAATTGTTAGCAGACAACAAAAATAAATGATAATTTTAAATATTATTAAAAATAATTGTTTCCAGCGACAGTTGTCAACTGTAATTGTTTATCTCAACAAACAAAAATTATCAATAAACAACTCCTTTTTTAGTGTCACAATTAAGGCAATACATCGATAAATTATTTATATCTGTGCAATTACAGTGCATAAGAGGTCACATCGGTCATGCGTCCACTCGTATTTTTAGGAAAGGGTAAAATATTTTTCTGTTAGTATCATAAACTAACCAATATACGTATAAATAAAATTGGTGCTGTTTTTGCTGTTTTAGAATCTCTCCTGCATACTGTCAATTTTAGTAAAAAAAAGTACTACGAATGTTTCGTCAACTTTCAAATTAATAATTTAAAACTTAATTAGATTAAATATTGAATTATTGCCATCCGTACCGTACGTAAGAGACTAGTTTACAATAATTCTCAAAAGTAAATCTCAAAATTACAAATATTTTAGTTTTTATCAGTTTTGGAGCAAGGCAAAATTACATTCTAGGATAGCAACAAAAAGACGTCTACATATCGAAGAAACGGTAACAATTTGAAAGTAATTTTACAAGAAAAACAAAGCAATTAGCAAACCCATGCGAAATTCAGTTTAGATTTTAATTCGTAACTCTCAAAGAATGACACACTCTGATTGCTACAAAACCGCAAGAAATAATAACTTCAAAAAGTTAATTAAAATTATACAATTCGAATAGCTACTAGCTACAGGGTGTCCCACGATCTTTATACATTTTATTGAACAAATGTTATAGATTTTAATGGTTAGTCAACGATAATAAAGTTTTAATCATCCTATGTTTAATGTTAGGCTTCCAGTTTTTTGCTTTATCCAGATAAAGAATACTATCAATTAAACATTAATTATCGCTTTTATTAAATTAAATAGTATTCCTAATTTTATAGTTTACTACATATAAAACTAGAAATGGAAATTGGTAAAACCAGTTACCTATATCTGGAATTTTTAATCGAATAACCATCAGGTTTATGGTCAATCAATGAAATATAAATGAAGCAATGAAAGTAGAAAAAAGAAATAAAATTAGTGCATTTATTGTTCGTTTTGTCATAAATTATCGCATTTATGAATGTTTACAAGTAAAGCAAGGACTTCAAAGTTCAATAATAAGGCGAGTCATACAGGTACAATGGACATGTACAAGTACATATATAGTAAAGGCAAATAAAAGTAAAGGTGTATGTTATAACATACATGTACGTACACATCATATAAAATATTGCATTGGCGCCACTACTTATAAGTATTATTTTAAGTATTGTATTACACGATGCAAGAAAATATCAAGTGCACAAGGTAAGCAAAATGGGAAGTGGATATAAAAACAACAATAAAATTTATTATAACAACCTAAATTCTACTAAACACATAAACAATAACTGGAGGGATAATGGTCACCAGAATTTTTGAATCGCGAATAATTGAATAAAAATGCTCAAGTCGAAGTAGCAAACACCCTGTATGTGAAGTGGACAAAGTCACTGGTGCTTCAATGGACATTTTCACTTTCTAATATTATTCGTCAGTAAAATGAGTTTATAATGACAGGTCTACTTTAGATGTGACGAAATTATATTAATCTTTCAATTACCTTGATGATTACGTACAATATAATACGTACGTCTATTTCTTGAAAATTAAGATAATAGTGTTGCTAATAAGACTTCTATTCATTGAATAGAGACTACCTGTGAATATGTTGCAATTTGTAATAAGTTTAAACAACAACATGAAGTAAATATTGTTAATTTCCTGATTACTCACAAATCGCAATTTATTCTGAATAAATCAAATAGGTATGTATATGAGGTACTTAAACACTTACATAAATTATAAATCATAAAATAACCAAATTTAACAAATTTTTATTGGTGATGACGTTATTTTAAAACAACTAAAAGTTATTGTATTCGTTCACACAAATAACTATTAATTTAAATTAAATTCAAATAGGAAATGTAACATTAATAAATGACATGGACTTGGCTTTTGTTTCCTTTATTAAAACATTAGCAATTGCAATTTTTAATTATCCCACTTATTATAGTTATAGATATAAAAGTATGACTAAAATAGTATTTGTTGAAAGGTAAAAACACCTGTAGGATCTACCTATATAGATATAAAGGTATCCACGCTGGTATACGGATTTATGTCTACAATATAATAAATACATCGTAGCCCGAAGTAGGTCCCAAGGTACCTTTAGATAGGTACCTACTACCTGAGTATGTTTTGTAAAAGTTCACTTACCGTTGTAATTATCGTAAGCTGTTGGCACATATTCACTGGGAAAAGTGTCGTTACTATAAGAAACAGCAAGTGACGTTTTTCCAACAGCTTTATCCCCTACGAGCACACATTTTATTTTGCACTTTTTATCTTTTTCGACTTTTACCCTTTTCCGTTTAAAAATTTTCACAGGTAACGGTTGTTCTTTGAGCAGCGGTTGTTTTGTGTAGTTCATTGTTGGAAGTGATTATCGAAACGTGTTATTACCCGAATAAGTATTTCGACGAAGAATTACGGTAAAACTGACAAAAACCAGCTGATTTTTGTTGAGAGAATGTCAACTAGGCATAATTTATGATAAACACGCCTGCTCACTTTGACGTCTGACTCATAACTGGCTGGTGCAGCTCCGAGCGCATGCTGGAAAAGATACTTCGATTGTCGAACAAGATAAGAAACGTCGAATCAAAACATGAACCTGATAGATAGAGAAAGGTGCATCTTTTATTCACATTCCTTTTTCTTTTCAAAAGAAATTAATGTACTCTGTAATGGACATGAGTAATTAGAATTCGTTTATATTGTCGCTTGCCTTTGGTTCTTAACTATTCAAAATCAGAAAATAGTAGTTGTAACGTGATTGGTCGTTTTTTCATAAGTTTACTTGAGCCACCTTTTCGTGAATTAAATTGGGGTGAATGTTGTCATGGAAACCGAAAAAAAAAATATTTTTTTTAAATTACTTAATACCTATCAAAAAGAAATTTAAATTTTGAAAATGTTACCAATTTTTTACGAGCTTTGCTTAAACAAATTAATTAAACTCCTTTTAGCCAAACAATAAAGTAGAATAAAGTAATATTTTGCTTTTTTTTGTTATTCATTGGTCTTTTCAATGTAAAATACTTTACTTATTTAAGTTTTTGTCGATCAGAATAAACTAAATATTATTATAGATAATCATTTATATAAAGACAAATTAAAAAGGGGAATAATATTGGCAACTATATTTCCTTTCGTGTTAACTTGGCTGCCTACACGTAATTGAATGATTGTGAGAAAGATTGTGGTTTATTATTAGTAAACAAATTCGAAAATACAAAACAAAGAAAATTTAAAATTCTGTGCCTCTAAAGTTTGTAAATATTTATAAAGATTAATGAAAAAGGGATGATTTTAATTATTATTTAAAAGGTGACATTTTTTGAACTAAGTTGTAAATACAGTATCGGTAAAAGTTAACCTTTAAAATCGTAAATATTTAACATAAATTGGTTTAAAATAGCCCAATAAGAAAAAAATAAACTAGTAATAAATGTAAATAACAAATTAAAACGTCACGCAATTGATTTTGTGGATTGTAGTTGAAGAAGAAAACAACTAAGATGCAAGGGGTCAGTGCACTTGCATAATTTGTGCATAATAAACATAATTGCATTAAAAGTTAGATTGATGCCTATAAATTGCAGCTTGGGACAACAGTAGTAAGATATTCATATTACAATTGTCTATCAAAGTTTGATATTTACAATACTGCATAGAAATGCAATGAAATTCTACTAATAAAGGTCCTTCAATAACACAAAGCTTGCTCTGAGAAGAAATTGAACTAAGAAATAATTACAAATGTTGCAACAGTAAGAAGGCATCAACCATGACTTATATACAACATTTAGGTGCAACAATTTGGCGTAGAAAAACTACAATATTAGTAGCAACTGGATTGTTAATTCTATTGATATTTGGACTCCAGTATTCTAATATGAGACACAAGGAAAAGGAAAAATACAGGCAAAAGAATGGAGAACAACTTCCAGAAATGTTAGCTTTAGATGCAGTTGATGCAACCAATGTAAAATTTGTTGACAACAATCTAAAATCGATACTGTTTACTGCAGCCAATAATGAAAACTCATTAAAGGATTTAAAAATTATACCAAACATTGAAAAGCAGCTGGGAATCCCTCTTGTTAATATTGATTACAATAATCTTTATATACCCCAACAGCGAATTGTGCATTTTGATCTTAAAGGGGCTCCTCCAAAAATAAATTATCTTAAAAAAATATTTCCTATTATTAAGACATTGGGTGCAACAGGTATTTTATTAGGTATGCACTGACCAATTTTTTTATATAATAGTTATTCTCTAATAATGTTCTTGTTAAATTTCAAAAACATCCACTTTGTGTGAGAATACCTATACAACTGTTTATAATAAGAACTTTACGATGATATGAATTTATTTATTTGGTTATTTAGAGTACGAAGACATGTTTCCATTTAAAGGAGCACTGAAACATTTGTCAGCTAAAAATTGTTATAGTGAAGAGGACTTATCAGAGCTACTTAAAAGTGCAGAAGAATCCAAATTGGATGTTATTCCTTTGGTACAAACATTTGGCCACATGGAATTTGCATTAAAATATTCAGATTGGAGTAAATTAAGAGAGGTCTCCAATAGTCCTCAAGCACTTTGTCCTAGTAGAAACGGATCACTTGAACTTATTAAGCAAATTATTCAACAGGTATCTTTAACCAATACTTAAAAAACTGTTAATTTTATGCATAAAGACATATCCTATAATATAATGAAAATATTTCTATTAGTATAAAGTGATGAACACAGTAATGATGTTTTAAAGGTCATGGCCCTTCATCCGAAAGCAAAGTATCTCCACATAGGCTGCGATGAGGTGTACCATATGGGCGAGTGTGAGATTTGCAGATTAGAACTGCGTGAGAACTTATTTTTGCGTCACGTTCGCAATGTCGCCGCTATTATTCACGAAAAGTTCCCTAGTCTTCGGTTGATAATTTGGGATGATATGTTAAGACATATAAGTCAACAAAGCATGCAAGAGATCTCTTTAGGAGACCACGTTGAACCCATGGTTTGGGTTTATGCGGAAGACATTTACCGATTCGTACAATCTCCGACTTGGGACAAATACGCTGCAGTTTTTCAAACAGCTTGGACCGCCTCTGCTTTTAAAGGTGCTTTCGGTGAAACCTTGTACATCCCAAACGCTAAAAGACACCTCGAAAATAATCTACAGTGGCTTTATGTAATGTCCCAACAAGCGAGAAGTTTTAAAAGGGGACTTTCGGGAATTGTTTTGACTGGATGGCAACGTTATGACCATTTTGCCATCTTATGTGAATTGTTACCAGCGAGTGTTCCTTCTTTGGCCCTTTCTTTGCTCGCTGTGACACACGGTCATTTTAATTCGTCTCTTAGAGGACCCTTTTTGTCAGCGTTGAGTTGCCCAGAACACACGAGCTCGTCTAGACCGGTGCCGTTTATAAATCTGTTTGATGACCCGTACCTTTGGGACAAAGTGGGACGTTGCATGTTCCCAGGGAGTCCCGTTTTTCGTTTGACTTACCGTCTGCATAATTCTGAGGAAGAAGCAAATGAATTTATAAAATCCATTCATCAAAATAAGGCTTGGTTAACCATGTACAATGTAAGGCATAATTTTAGCTCGCCTTTAAGAATTGAAGAGTTGACTTCAGAATTACCTAGAATTTATCACGGGTTTTTGTCTCTCATGAGATCCTCGCAAGACATTTTGAGAGACGTTTTTGATAATTACACCGTTTTAGAATGGATTGAGCAAAGAATATATCCATATGTTGTTGAGTTAGAAAAAATACAAAATCGGTCGGTAGCTTTGACGATTTTTAAGACGTGGCCGAGAAGACCTTTGGCTCCTCTCAAAGATCTGCAAAGATTAGGCATTTCATTACCAGAAGAGTAAAATTTATCATAATCTTGCAAGCCAATGTGTTTTTCGTTTTTGGTTGTTTAATAATTCGCCTTCATCTTCATAATTTCAATCTGTAATTGTTAATGTTAACCATTTTTTTTAGGTTTACAATTTTTTTTTTGAAAGGCATTGCATTTATTATTTTAAATACTCAAATAATGGCTCATTCCAAAGTATTTAATGTTAAGTAAACGGTTTTAGATGGTAATATGTGTAAAATTTATTCCATTTCGAATTCTATACAAAGGATAATTCAGGTACAATAAATTATAAAATTTTCGTTAACGTATAAATTATTCTTATATCAAATTTACTTGCACTGATAATTTGATGATGATTTAGTAATTGTGATAATTTCATTACTTATTTCATCTTTGGTAATAAGTTTGCTGTTTAAAGACTTATATCCATATTTATTGATCTCTTCCTTTTTCGATAATTTTACAAAAATATTTTCTATAAGTATTATATTTGTAACAAAGAAAGATCTGTAAAATTTACCTAAAATATTTATTATGCCTCTAAAATAATTTTACGAAGAGTCGGAAAAAGTTACATCAAACCAATGCATGTAATATTTCTCATAAAATATTATATGAAGGCTTTTGCAGCCGAAGTTCATGTTCCTATGCTAAATTGCTCTAAATTTTTCTATTTTCAGACTTATTCACTCTTACTAAAATTATTAAGTCTTTCGTCATGAATGAAATGTAGAGGTTTAATAAAACTGTACGTTAGATACGTTGTGTAATTTATCTTTTTATTAATTAATACAATGCCATATGTATGATCAATATGGTTAATTAGTCTACAGAAGACTTGGTAACATAATAACACATTTGTGTTTTTTTTTTTGAAATCCATATGAAAGACCTTAAGACATCTTATATTTCAAGACATAAAAAAGAATTGTTGAGGTTTTAACTTTTAATTTGTGGGCGCGCTGTAAATTTTACATTACTGTTACTCGTCATTTTAGTCTCATTAGATATTATAATTATGATATTTAATTGTAGCTTATTACTAATACGTGTGTGTTGTATATATGGCTTGAAATTGATAAAAAAGAAGTGTTTAAGATATAAATGTTGTGAAAACTTTTAAGCTGTATCTTTTGCTGTTACTTTATGTGATAATAATAATGATACTGTTTTTACTATTTATAAAAGCTATCGTTTTTTAAATTATTGTCAAAAACGTCAGCATGCCATCTTTTAAATTTTGTATATAGGTATATTTAATTTTATTTTATGTCCAGGCTGCTATTGTAAAGACTAGCTCAAAGTTCTACATCAGGAAAGTTCTTATAATTATATTAATCCAAAAAACGCAGTCAAAATTTCTGGTACTCCTTTTCAGTATTTATTATAAAAGAAGGGGGAATGAAACGTATTATAAATACCATATAAGAAATCACACCACAGACAGTTTATTAAAGTGATGTAGAATCGTGAACTACATTATGCATTTCTATTTATTTATGAACTTATCTCATAAAATAGATGATAAGGAAATATTTTGACGTAATTTTAAAAATCTCGTATATTTTACGGTACAATTTCACTGCCACTAAATTGAGGCACCTTTTTAAATAGTTCTTGATATCGTAAATAAGAAAACACTTTTATCTCTTTACAAATCAGAGTGTAAATTAAAAATTGTAGTGTTGAAATAGAAGGTTGTATCGCAGAACTGATATTTGTAAATAAAAACTGTTTGAAAGCCCAATTTGTTTATTAATCAAAACATTAATAACTGTATTGTTATATAAATTGAATCAAAATATGTATTCAAATAATCGTTTATTTATCAATTTTTAGGTTTCATACTGCCAAGGAAGAAAAAATCGTAATTTTATTGTAGTATTAAAGTAAAAAACAAATTTTATGACTATTAATAATACAATAAAATATCTTTTTTATCTCTGGAAAA